AATTTTAAAAATGATAGCTTCAATCGGCCTATTAGATTGTCATTTTTATTTTAAGATTGCACCAAGTTAAATTTTTTTTTTTCAATCGAGCGAACTTATTACTTTGAGGATTACTGATAATTGTTCATGTGGTGTAACTCGTTGATTTGTTCACGAGACTTAATTTCTTATTTAATGAGGTGTTTATGAAAATGGAATAAAGAGAAATAACCTTTACAATCTTTTAAATTTAGTTCAAAGAGTAGTGTTAGTAAAATCGAATCTAATTCATCAATTCAATATTTAAAAAAAAACGAGGAGCTGAGTTCTAGATATGATCTTTTCCATAAAGTCAAGACATGCCAAATCAAATCCGTATTTCATAGCGACGAAAGTCTAAAAAGACTAACATCTACGACAAAATAAACTATGAAAAACAAGTTCAAATTAGGGATGATAAAATTTTATGTCTCAACTCGAATGGAACGGAAGATCTCCATCCCACACGGTAAATGGGGGCGAGATGCCCTCAAATTATTATTATTATTTTATTTTCATATTTTTCAATTTAAATCATATTTAGAGATTAGTTAAAATAAGATGATAAATAATTTTTTTATTTTTAATTTTTCTCATCCCCTTGTAAAAATTCTCGACTAAATGGGAATGATAATGACCGTCGTTCAGATCCACACCATTGCTTTTGTACAAGGATAATTCATGGCATTATATTTTCAACGGTGTATAACAAAAAAATAAATAAATATGAAAAGATTATCTAAAAGGAGGAGTTGAAAGAATCTATGATTTGATGTGGATAAGATGATGAAATATTCATATGATGATTAGACAATCACCAATATTGTCGTATTTTCCAAGATAGTCACCTCATCTTTTGTCGGTCCACAATAAAATATTAATATTAATTAATTCAATAGCTTAAAATAAGCAAAAAGGAAATTTCAAAAAATGTTCATTTTTACTTAGTCATTTGTAAAAATGTCGATCATTGCAAAAATGCCCAATTTGGAAGAATTTAGAGCAAAATACCCTTATTAACAATTTATAACTTCACACTAAGACAAAAAAATGGACATTTTTGCAATATTGTTATTGGTCAATAAAATTTTGACACATAATCTGTCATATTTATTTCAAAAAGTATACATTTCAAATCACAATAAATACTATGTTTTTCATTGATACAGAAATGTCGAGAACAACATTTTTAAACGTAGAGAAATGTCATGTCCAAGATGAAATATCATTCTAGACAAATGAAACGGTATTCAAATGTCAAGAATGACATATGAAATGTCGAGAAATATTATTTTAATGTAGCTTCTCATGGAAGCCATTTCTCAAAATTCGTGACAAATTGATAAAAAAAAAATCAAATGTTGAGAATACCATTTCAAAATATAACTTTTCATTAAGGATATAATAAATAAATTGTCACTAAATTCAAATGAGTTGATACTTTTCAACTCATACATTTAAAATTGGACATTCTTAAAAATGTCCCATAAGCAATTATGTCCTTGTTTGAGCTCTGTTAGTTAAAAAAAATGTATTTTTAAACAATATTTTGAGATCATTTCAATAACATTTTTAATAAAATAATATTAAATGCAAATTCAAAATTTTCTTTATTTTTTAACCACACTTTTATGATCAATACATTATTCAAAAATGTATTTTTCTTTCAAAATGGGGCTATATATATGATAAATTACACTAAACAATATTAAGAAATACATTAAAACATTTGTAATTAGGGATGTGCACTCATTTTTATTTATGGTCCATTTGGCACAAGGATTTTGCTTTCTGTAAAAAATTTTTTTAGAGAAAACTATCAAAATTTTTTGCTTAAAAATCAAATGTCGAAAATACCATTTCAAAATATAACTTTTCATTAAGGATATAATAAATAAATTGTCACTAAATTCAAATGAGTTGATACTTTTCAACTCATACATTTAAAATTGGGCATTCTTAAAAATGTCCCATAAGCAATTATGTCCTTGTTTGAGCTCTGTTAGTTAAAAAAAATGTATTTTTAAACAATATTTTGAGATCATTTCAATAACATTTTTAATAAAATAATATTAAATGCAAATTCAAAATTTTCTTTATTTTTTAACCACACTTTTATGATCAATACATTATTCAAAAATGTATTTTTCTTTCAAAATGGGGCTATATATATGATAAATTACACTAAACAATATTAAGAAATACATTAAAACATTTGTAATTAGGGATGTGCACTCATTTTTATTTATGGTCCATTTGGCACAAGGATTTTGCTTTCTGTAAAAAATTTTTTTAGAGAAAACTATCAAAATTTTTTGCTTAAAAAATAATTTTTAAAAGAGCTTTTTATTTCGAAAGTATTTTTGAAAAAATTTACATTGGACCAACTCCACTTAAAAGCTTTTATAATTAGAAAAAACACTTTTATAAAATTAGTAAAACGGATTCAGAAGTAATTTTTGGGATCTCCAAAACTCATTTTGACTTTTCGGAAGTCATATCGAATGAACCCTTAAATGCATTTGAACCGATCAAAGGGATTGATTCGGTTCATTAATTAAGTCTTAAAATTGATTACTAGCTCTTCATTATGTGATTAGATAATAATCATCCAATTAGGATAAATTCTCACAATCATTCAACCTTTGACTTGGCCCATGATTGGCTCATGACCAATCATAATAACGAGTCTCCAAACAATTATCTAAATATCTAATTCCTTCCATGCCTCCAAATGTGGACCGTCCATTTTTTCAAACTCTAGAGTCTAGCTACTGTCTATCTCATTAATGGATAATCCCACTCCTAGATCTTTATTTTTATTTTTTAAAATTAATTAGACAGCGTTGAACTAAATCCGAAATTGATCCCTATCTCCTCTCTTCAGCATACAATTTCTCAATAACACTAAAATTTAGGGCATGTTTGGTAGTGATTATGAAAATTGATTTTTTGATCGTTAGAGATAAATATAAGTCTCATCTGTGAGTGAAGAAGTAAAAAATAATCTCTGGAATAGCAAAATAACTGTCAAAAGGTTGATTGTTTGGAATAAAAAATTGCTGCCAAACGAGGACTTAAATGAAAAGTTACCATCAAAACGTTATCCTTCAAAATTTCTTCTTAAAATAGGAGTAAGATAGAAATTGGCAAAAAAGTATTTGAGAATAAATAAAAAAAAGGAAAAAAAAAAGGGATAAAATACGGGCTTGGGCCCACAAAGCAGAAGATCTTACATGATTGAACATTGAAATCAAGTTGTTCATAATTGGTTATTTAAGAGGGGGACACGCGAACTTCACGTGGACTATGGCCCACTGGTTCCCTAAAAGTAGGGCCATCCACGCGGCCTGACATGCCCTAGTCTTTTTATTTATTTAATTATTAATTTATTATTATTATTTTCGAATGTAATTCTTCCAAGATTTTCTTTATCTTCCTTAAGTAAAATACGCGTATCTGTCCACACCTTTCTGTGGCAGAATAAACTAACATAACTAAAAAATTAAGTGTGAGCCAAACCCCCCAGTCCATGTATGACACGTGTACATTACGTGTCTATATCGACACTAACTAGAGAAGTAGATGACAAAAATTTCCGTTTGCATCAAACGGAAAATTTCCCTCTAAAATGGTAAATGAGTAATCGTTTTCATTCTGTCTTGTGAAATCTCCAACGGAGCAGGGATTATGGTCCTCGGTCTTGTCCCACTCGGCTGCAGTCCCTACCAAGCAAGATCAACTCCATACTTTTACCTTTAAGTGGTAAAATCATAGTTAAATATATATTTAAGTCAATAATACATATTTATTGAGGTTAATATGTAGTTTACTATCGCATTCAACTTTAACCAAAAAGTAAAAGGTTGATTTTGTAAAGTAATTGTTTACCTATGCAAGAAAAGAGTAACTCAACTGCTTAAGCATTTTGAATGAATTTCACAATAGTGCGTCCTTCTTTCCTTTATAAGACAGTGTAGAAAAATAAATTTTCCTTACTAAAATAGTAATAGTAACTTCTTAGTTAATGCTAAGGAAACTCAAAAATTAAATTAAGATGGCTAACAAAGGTTGTACACGTTGACGTGTCATAAAATTTTTTTGCCGTAGGGGAATTTCAGGGGCATCGGTAGGCTTGAAGCAAGATGGGTTGGATAATAAAATATCCTCAATTCATCTTGTTGGTGTCCGAACTCAAGCATAACCTCGATCCTTTTCAAGATTAAAGAATTTTATTAAGAGGTCTCCAAGTAAATTGTGGAAAGTCGGACTATGAATTCGGACAAGAGGTCGTTCGTCATCGCGAAACACTATCATGATCAAACTGTAAAGAAGTATCCTAGTAATCTCATAACAATCAATTAGAAGAATAAGTGTCACCCATGATGTCAGCGCCACTCCTTCTACCAATAAGAAGAAAGTCTTGATTGACTAGGTAACATATAATTACAACCTAGGTCGTAGACTAGGTCGTAAGTGAAATGCTGATTTAAATTGTCAAACTCAGCAGTCAGCATCCAATCAAATATCTCCAAACGAAACGATGACATACAGATCGAGGTCAAACACTCTAGCTTAACAAGATAGAGGGCAACAAGCTCCAAGTTGAAAAGCTTATCACAAATAATGGCAATGATCCACTACAAAAGGCTGAACTAAACAACTCTCTCTCTCTCTCTCTCTCTCTCTAATAAATGGCTAAATCACTGCTAAATTAGAATTTCTCTTTTCTTTACAATAATCTATAATTAGATACAATTACCTTATTAAAATTCTCTTAAGATGATCTATAATTGCTAAGTTAATTTTAATCATCAACATACCCGAATTGGTGGTGCATTTAAATACGGGGTGGGGGTGGTCACGGGAAAGGTAACCTCTTTCGAGATTTTGCCTAAAGCCCTCAATTAGAAATTATTCCTTTCAGCAATAATCATACCCCATTACTTGAAAGGAAAAAAAAAGTACTTAAAGAAGAACAATAAATAATAATCACTTAATTCATATATATTTAGATAATATTTACAAATCTTTGCTAAAAACATATAAAAAGATTAAAATTAGCCAAAATTCTCTAATTTTTCTAGAAATTAGCTGCAATAATACCAGCTAATTTTTCCTTAACTAGCCCATAACCAACAAAAAGGAGGGGTCGGTGGATTTTTCTATAATTTTATATTTATCCTGATACTAACTAATTAATTAACAGGTTGCTGGTGGGTTGGCAAAGGGGCTATAGAAGTGCGGCTTAGGAGTTATCAAAAAGGGGCTCTTGGCCGGAACTTTGCCTCCGTCGCCGCCGATCCTTTCACAAGAGGGGCACATGGAGAGGGTGGCCGCCATGTAAAAGGGTTGTGCTAGTTTTTGTGCTTTCAATTCTTGTAATTCCTTCTGCAATCTTCTGTTTTCTTCTGTTAGTGATCCGTAGCATTTCTTCAAGTACTCACAGTCCACTTCTGTTTGCTTCAGCTTTGTTCTGTATATACGAAAATAGATGGTTTAGATGCCATTGAATTGATCAAATCGCACTATAATTTTATTCCCTTTTCAACGGTTTAAGCTTTTAGATAAAACGAGACCTTGCTCTTCGGTTTTGGAACCACACTTCCACTTGTCGAGGCCTCAGATGCAACTCCCCCGCCAATTCTTGCTTTTGTTTCTGATCAATCAAAATTATCATCGGTTAGAGTAAATTCCACGCAGAATAAAGATGATATAAACGAGCCCATTAAACTCAAACGAGTATCTTTAGTATCATAAAACTATATATACACGCGCACACATACATATATATAGAGAGAGAGAGAGATCTAAAGAGAGATACAGGATTAAGAGTGCTGTGTTGCTTGAAGCTTTCTTCTAAAAGAGCAGATTGAACTTTAGTGAGTCTAAGTTTCTTCCTTCCATTAGAGCCCTCATCATCTTCATCAATGAATCTTGAACAAACTCTCTCTATATCTCCCTCTTCATTCCCCAATTCTCTGTCTCTCTTCACACTAAGATTAGAGAGAGAAGTAACTGTACTGTCTTGACGATACAACTTATCCGTCTGATCAGAAATATTCACTACTTTTTTCACCGTCCGATCATAGCGCAGATCACCAGACAGGCTGAGAGCAAGTGATGGCTCCGATAATTTCAGGATTGGTTTTTCAGACTTGGGTTCATTTGTTGATGATAATCCCAAACCTAAAACCAAGCCTGTGTTGCAGATTTCGCTAAATCCCATTGATGTTTGAAGAGAAATATGAAAAAGTTGAACCCCAACCTTAGGGGCCCCCACCGACCCTGCCCTGGGCCATTGTGGAGGAGGTAAATCGTAGGATGTGCCTCCCAGGAGCCAGGGTGGAGAGCAAATGGATAGGCCAAGGCTATTAACCCATATGGTAACTCCCGCTTGCAACAAAGCCAATTCTACCTTGCGGGGAATCGAACTCTGCACACTGCCGCGCTGAGCTCTATCCGCCCTCCCCTTTGCCACTGGGAGATATGCCCTGGGGGCCCACCTATTACTATACTAAATTTTACGGTTAGTCGCTCACTTTTTCTCTTCCCACGATTCTTTTCCCATTGAATTGTTTATCATTATTGCTATTATTAAAAATACCAACCGGGTGTTATTTATTAATTCTCGACAAAAAAATAGGAAAAGGAAAAATTAAAGAACATACATGTTATTGTGTTTAAATTATAATTTTCAAGCAGTAAAACCTACAGAATATGAATAAAATGTTAGTAGTCATTGTGGGTGTGACGAAATGTATGAATTGAAAGTATATATGAACTTTTTCATCGTAATTAAAACATTTCCATAAATCCAAAAACAATCTTCCCTCAATTATAGTGCTAAAGAAAATCCAATACGTATTTTAATTTTGCTCTCCCAATCAGATATATATATATATATACACACACTCATCCACTGATTCTTCAACATCAGTCGGGTCGGACCTCCACTTAGTTTCACCCAAGTTTCATCCTGGTTATGGATAGATCACCTAGGTTCGGGTCCATAAGCAGTGACAATTGCCCTATGAAGACTAATTTTTCATGGTTTTGTATATAGTGTGTCAACCATATTTTCCACTTCAAAATGTGATAATGCAAGATAGAAACTTTTTTTGAACACATTTTTTAGTCGAGTATGGAGGAGAGAATGCATTATCCATTGAAAAAGTGAGAATACGAGATCGAAACTTTGTTTATTATATTGTAACTATCGCACGTGTTTTTTAATCGAGTATGGAGATCGGATATATTTTCCACTAGAAATGTTGGAACATGAGACAGAGATGGGCACTATCAGGCGGAGGATTGCTTCATGTTTTCTTGTTTGTTGTTTGGGAAAGTAAAAAAAGTAAAGTTGAGAAAAGTAGGTGTAAAGACAACATGGGTAGTTTCATCAATATTTTTTATTCATTAATTGGTCGTGAATGACACAATGTGTTGTCCACTTTAAAATGTGAGAATGCAAGATAGGAACTTTTTTCGTTATATTGGAATTATCGAACACATTTTTTAGTCGAGTCTAGAGGATAGAATGCATTATTCATTGAAAATATGAGGATGCGAGATAGAAACTTTGTTCATTATACTGTAACATCGAGTCTGGAGATTGAATTTATTATTCACTTGAAATGTTGGAACATGAGACAGAGATGGGCACTATCAGGTGGAGGATTGCTTCATGTTTTCTTGTTTGTAGTTTGGGAAAGTAAAAAAAAGTACGGTGGAGAAAAGTAGGTGTAAAGACAACGTGGGTAGTTTCATCAAGTTTAGATAAAATTATGATACAAGAATACGAATCAAAATCTTTGCTTAACTACAAAGTTGATATTTTGGGACCCACTAACTTGTATGCTTACAAAATACATACAATAATGTATTGTCGGGTATACTTGTGACAAGTTATGTTATGAAGTGTACACTTCCTTAAAATGTTTATTTTTGCTCCCAACTTTTCTATCTTTTGTCAATTCCATCCTCTTCCAGCTCTATTTTTTTTATTTTTACACAATGATGCTATAGTGATCGAATTTTTTTGACATAATAGTTGACCGACACTAACAATGGGAGGAGGACCACTTCTTTTTCGGACTTTTTTATTCATTCGGGATCCAATCGTATGTGAGAGGATGTCAACCATTATGTTAAAAAAACTCGGGCAAAATAGTTTAATTTTTTTTTTATTTTTATTTTTATGAATATGTTTAATTGTTGCTCTCCAACTCTAATATTTTATTTTGTTTTATTGTTTTAAGATAAACTTGTAGTGTGATTGAAGAATAATAATTATAGTTATTATTAATTACGAGTTACTTATATCTGGAGATTCCCATTTTTAAATAAAAAGAAATTATTGATCTCACATAGATTTTTTTAGTGCAATTTAAGAGTTCGAAGGAACTATACAAATACATACAAGTTTTGTTTATTGTTGACATTCGAACTCCGATTTAATAAAAACAGTTTGCTAACCCCACTTCAGTTAAATGTGAGTTCGATCCTTACTCCCAGGTTGGATAATCCCACCATTATCTCAGAAAAATATCATGATTATCCCCTGTTGCATCACCCTATCAATCAAATACACTTGCCACAGGTGACATCGTTACCGCTCGGAACGACCAATCATAAGTCCTTAACCTCCAGCCCCTTGCAGGTCATCATTAACTGGGGAAAACATTGACATATGGTCATCGGCCTCATCGACCAATCACAAGAGAATCTAGCGACCCAAGTTTCGAGATCGATGCTGTTGCTGATTTGACTGATTTGATGTAATATCGGATGAAACTATATATAAATAGTTCAATAGGACTCTTGTAAAGGGCAAGTGATTTCATACAACAACTCAAGACATAATTACACTCTCTAAACATATTTTGTGGTCTTTTTTCAACAATAAATCTCATTTTTTCTTAAAGTTGGCTTAAAATTAGCCTTGCTAATTTTGACGTCAACAGTTTGGCGCTAGAATGAGGGCTCTAATTGTGAAAAATAGTCTCATTCTCTCCACAAAATTCAAGAGCCATGAGTCGTAGCACAAGTTCCAGAAATCCATTTCACACCCATCATCATGAAACGAATACACCACCAAGTTCTCCACGATGGCAGGACCCTCAAACGACCACCATGAGGGAAACCTATACCAGCCATCAACACAACTCCCCGGGAGTGCATAAGGCAAACGTATGGAAATCCGAGCTCATTCCACTAGACACGCGGACCAGAAACGAAGAAGGAGAACCCGTCGAAGAACTAGAAAGAGTTCAAGTCTGTGCCAAGGACCCAACAAAGGAGCTAAAAGCCGGGCGCCAGTTGCAGCCATCCACCCGAAATGAAATGTGGCCTTCCTTAGACAAAACCTTGATGTCTTCGCTTGGGATCACAGGGACATGAGAGGATAGACCCCAACATCGCATGCCACAAATTACAGGTGGATCCTTCAGTTCGGCCAAAGTAGCCAAAACTACGACCTCTAAACCCTGAAAGATATGAAGCACTCAACAAGGAGGTGCAAAAACTGTTGCATAACGGTTTCATCCGCGAGGCCAAATACTCGAAGTGGGGCGCAAATTCGGTCCCTGTGAAAAAACACAACGGAAATTGGAGGGTATGCATAGACTTCATCGACCTTAACAAAGCATGTCCAAAAGACAGTTTTCCTTTACCAAGAATAGATCAAATGGTGGACGCCACTACCGGACACGAACTACTCTGCTTCATAGACGCGTATTCCGGATATAACTAGATACCGATATACGGCCCAGATCAAGAACATACCTCGTTTGTAACTGACCGAGGTCTTTACTGCTACAGAGTAATGCCATTTGATCTCAAAAACGCTGGTGCGACCTACCAACGACTAGAAAACAATTGACTTTTTGTGGAAATCAATCATCTGCAGGTTCGACATACCTCACTCCATTGTTATGGACAATGGAAAACAGTTTGACAACGCACGACTTTCAGATTTCTGTGAAGAGTTCGGCATCAAGAAATATTTCTCAACGCCACCATTCGCAGGTAAACGGTCAAGTCGAAGCCATTAACAAAATTATTAAGCATACATTGAAAGCAAAACTCGACTTGTTTAAAGGAGGATGGGCCGACAAACTCCCCAGCATGCTATGGTCTAATCGTACCACTATAAGGACTAGCGCGGGAGAAACACCGTTCTCACTGGCTTTCGGTGTAGAGGCTATGATCCCACTAGAAGTCAGCATTCCCTCGCTGCACATAATTGATTACGACGAAGAAAGGAACCACATGGCTCTTCGTACGGAACTCAACCTAACCGAGGAGAAAAGGAACAATGCCGAACTTAAAAATGCCGTTTACAAACAGCGGAACGCCAAGTACTACAATCAAAAAGTCCGAAAAGGAGAATTCAAAGTAGGATCCCTCGTATTACGAAAAGTATTCCTCCCCACAAGAGAGGTACGCAGTGAATGCCAGGGCACGAATTGGGAGGGCCCCTATCTGATAACGAAGGTCCTAATAAAAGGGGGGGGATATGAGTTGGAAGACTTGGATGGTAGACCCTTACCCCATCCTTGGAATGCCGAACACCTCAAACAGTATTATCAACGAACGGGAAAAGTCCGTGACATATAAAGCCCACTTGTAATGTCAATCACACCAATGAAAAGGGACTTCCTACTTTTGAACATCTTGTTCAGAGTACTAAGAAATCTTACAAAGCTCTGTTCCATATGCAGGCTGATCTAAGGGCGTAAGTGCTACGACCCTTAGTGGACATTCCTCCTAAGAAATCCTACAAAGCTCCGCTATATACACAGGCCGATCAAAGACTGTACGTATTACCCTTAGTGGACATTCCTCCTAAGGAATCTTACAAACCCTTGCTCCATACGCAGGCCGATTTAAGGTCGTAAGTGCTGCGACCCTTAGTGAACATTCCTCCTAAGGAATCTTACAAAGCCCTGCTACTTACGCAGGCCGATCTAAGGCTATATGTGTTACCCTTAGTGGACATTCCTCCTAAATAATCTTACAAAGCACTGCTACATACGCAGACCAATCTAAAGCTGTACGTGTTACCCTTAGTGGACATTCCTCCTAAAGAATCTTACAAAACCCTGCTACATACACAGGCTGATCTAAGGCTGTACGTATTACGCTTAGTGGACATTTCTCCTAAGAAATCTTACAAAGCCCTGCTCCATACGCAGGTCGATCTAAGATCATAAGTGCTACGATCCTAAGTGAACATTCCTCCTAAGGAATCTTACAAAGCCCTGCTACTTACGCAGGCCGATCTAAGGCTGTACGTGTTACCCTTAGTGGACATTCCTCCTAAAGAATCTTACAAAGCCCTCCTCCTAAGGAATCTTACAAAAAAATGAATTTTCTTTCCAAAGATCTAAGGCTGTACGTGTTACCCTTAGTGGACATTCCTCCTAAAGAATCTTACAAAGCCCTCCTCCTAAGGAATCTTACAAAGCCTTGCTACATACGTAGGTCGATCTAAGGTTGTACGTGTTACGCTTAGTGGACATTCCTCCTAAAGAATCTTACAAAGCCCTGCTCCGTACGTAGGCCGATCTAAGGTCGTAAGTGCTGCGACCCTTAGTGAACATTCCTCCTAAGGAATCTTACAAAGCCCTGTTACATACGTAGGCCGATCTAAGGTTGTACGTGTTACCCTTAGTGGATATTCCTCCTAAAGAATCTTACAAAATCCTGCTCTATACACAGGTCGATCTAAGGTTGTAAGTGCTGCGACCCTTAGTGAACATTCCTCCTAAGGAATCTTACAAAGCCTGCTACTTACGCAGGCCGATTTAAGACTGTACGTGTTACCCTTAGTAGACATTCCTCCTAAAAAATCTTACAAAACCCTGCAACATATGCAGGCCGATCTAAGGCTGTACGTGTTACGCTTAGTGGACATTTCTCCTAAGGAATCTTACAAAGCCCTGCTCCATACGCAGGCCGATCTAAGGTCGTAAGTGTTGCGACCCTTAGTGAACATTTTTCCTAAGGAATCTTACAAAGCCTTGCTACTTACGCAGGCCGATCTAAGGCTACACGTGTTATTCTTAGTGGACATTCCTCCTAAGGAATCTTACAAAGCTTTGCTACATACGCAGGCCGATCTAAGGCTATACATATTACCTTTAGTGGACATTCCTCCTAAAGAATCTTACAAAACCCTGCTCCATACACAGACCGATCTAAAGTCGTAAGAGCTGCGACCCTTAGTGAACATTTCTCCTAAGGAATCTTACAAAGTTCTGCTACTTACGCAGGTCGATCTAAAGTTGTACGTATTATCCTTAGTGAACATTCCTCCTAAGGAATCTTACAAAGCCCTGCTACTTATGCAGGCCGATCTAAGGCTGTACGTGTTACCCATAGTGGACATTCCTTCTAAGAGATTTTACAAAATCCTGCTACATACGCAGGTCGATCTAAGGTCATAAATGCTACAACCCTTAGCGGAAATTCCTATTTGGAAATTCTACGAAGCCCAGGAACATGTGCAGGTCGATCTAGGTTCGCATGACTTACGAGTTCTGTCACATACGCTGACTAGAATACATTCCATCATTAAAAATTCACAAAAGGATGAAATAAGCAATAAAATTTAGACCTCATAAAAAAAAGAAAACATTTATTTTCATAAGCATTCAAAATAGAGTGCGGCTCATCTTCCAGCACAAACAATACTAGGGGAAGGGAGGTCTTCGCAATGAGCGACATCATCTTCATTAGCAGAAGAAATTCGAACTCCTGTCGCCTCCGACAAACGCTGAAGCTCTTCCTTCTGCTCTTCCACAGCCTCCTCAAAGAAACCCATGTCAAACCCTAGCCTCTTTCTGCGAATGTGTTTTACTACTTCCTCCATAACCACGATGTAAGCATCCTGAGCAAGAGCATCAAATTTGGAGGACGACCTCCAAGTCTCCACTGCCCTCGCAGCCCTAGATTCAGCCTCCTCAACTCTACGCATCGCCTCTCTTGCTCTCTCATTTGCCTCCCGTACCTTCTCCACAGCCTCCTCAGTCCGAACTCTCTCTTCCTCAATCCTCTTCTTCTCAACCTTAGCCCTACGATCGGCCTCCTCCCTCAGAGCTCTAATCTTCCCCATCCACTTCTCCTCTATCTCTAGCCTCGAGTTCAACTCAAATCCCATCATGTTAAGCTTCTCCTTGTATTCTTTTTCTTTTATTGCAAACTGAGCTCTCTCAGCCTTCATGCTGTTATACAAATTCAAGGCCTGATCCTTAGCCTCCATCAGTTTGTCGAGCTCAGATTTCACCTACGTTAAAATCCATAAGTTAAGCATTTCGCAAATATGTAAATCATCAAATAAAATGAAGTAAGGAAAATACATTATCAGCTACGACCGTCATGTACAGGATAGAGCGACGGTCGTGGAGTCGAGCAGTCACTAGAGCCTCGCCTATGGGCATCTCATTAAGGAAGCCCTGCTCCCTTTCACCCTAACTCCTGGTAAGTATGTTTACAGAATCACGCAGAGGTGGGAGAAGTGCAGCAGTAACCTCCCTCGATGGAGATAGAGCTTGTAAGTAATCCAGAAGATCTCTAAATGGTGGCCTAGTAGACTGTCCACTGATGGCCTCTGTAAGTCCAGGCACCTCTCCGTTACCCTTGCCGAGCTAGTCGAAGTGGAAGCAGGTGCTGTAGGAGGTGGTGAGGTATGAGCTAGAGACGGCAAAGTGATGGCCACCAAAGGAGAAGAGCTCAACGCGAGATCGGCTTCAGGGACCCTTGGTGTGGCTGGCGTACCAGTACGGTTCCTCTTCAAGGGGACCTAGTCTTCCACTTCCTTAGAACAGCTTTTATCCCGTTCTGGGATGTCCCTCTTCTTGGCCTTCGCTGGGCCGTAGCTTTCACCGCCTTGTATCTCAACATTTTTGAATTGTGAGCTGTAAACAAAAAAGTATGTCAGTACTCGACTCCAATAAATATCACCTCAATAAACCAATCAAAACCGACCTGAACTGATCGGAACCGATGTAGACGCTATGACGGTGGAAGGCCCCGGCATCCTAGTTTGAATCAAGCGGGCCTGGAAAAAGTCGAAATTCGAGAGCAAAAATTTTTAAGATCTTTGTTTCTTCGGCAATGCACGAATTGCTTCCGCTCGCCTCTGAGTGTCTTTCTTCAGTGTAGGCCTCTTGTAATCTGCACAGTAACATGATATCAATTAGAACCGCTCGGAATACAATCTAGGTCAAAACACCAAGAGGCAATTACTTACATAACGAGTGATAAAGTGCTGGGACCACGTCGTCCCTATTCACCCAGGCAAAATGAAACTGCCACTCCCCCGACACATAGAACCACTCTTCCTTCCATTTCTTAATCGAGGAGGGGGTGTCTAAAACTAAAGAACGTCCTGTCCTTGGCCTAACACTTGTGTACCACCAACCCGAGTTCTTCCCATCCTCCTTAAAAGTAAATAAAGAGTTGAACTGCTTAACCGTAAGCTCAGGGATACCTAATCTATCCCACAGAATAAGCATGACGATTAGAGTCTGCCACCCATTTGGGCATAACTGGGTCGGAGCTATAATCTCAGCCCGGCTTGAAGGATGATAGAATTCAATGTGACACATCCCATAGGGGGAGCGTCAGCACGATCAGAAGGTTTAGGGATTATCATAATTACCGAACTCGGAATATCATATTTTGCCCTCCAACTAGCTAACATATCACCCGTAACTACCGACCTGTAAGAACTAGCCCCCCACTCCAACTGATCATTCCCTTCACTACCCATAGGGGAACCCACCTCCTCATCTACCCTATCTCACCCCATCTCCCCAGGACGGGCCAAAGTAACGGGGTTAGCAACAGAAATAGGGACAGGAGTAAAAATCTCTCTATACCCCGAGGACGAACTAGAAGTAGAAGTGACAGATTTTTCCTGTCGATTTTCCCAGGATTGAACCCTCGACTCGTCCGAATTCATGGAAAAGAACAAAACAAATAGACTAAGTGAAGAAGCGAAGTAATACCTGGGAACTCGAAGGACGAACTTACTCAAACGATAGACAGGGCTTGCTTAGAATTCCTTGGTGCTTTGAGAGAAAATAGTGTAAAGTAAAAAAATAAAATAAAAAGGCATTGAATATTTAAAAAGAAGGAAGATAAAGGGTTTTAATCTGCGCCGTTAGTTCAAAATAAAGGAGGAAAGATCTACGGTTGAAATGTCTCCTAGGCTAAATGACACAACATCAGGAAACTTATCAAAGAAGTTATCTAAAAATGCTGTACAGCTCATTCCTACCCAAGCATGACACTTGGCATAATAATAATTACTTTTCTTGGAAAAAGAACTCGTGAAGTCAGAAGATCAGCCCCCCTTACGGAAAAACTGACCTGGGGGGTAACTGTTGACATCCGAACTCTGATCTAATAAAAACAGTTCGCTAACCCCACTTCAATTAAATGTGAGTTCTGTCCTTACGCCCAGGTCAAACAATCCCGCCGTTATCTCAGAAAAATATCATAATTACTTCCTGTCACATCACTTTATCAATCAAATACACTTGCCACAGGTGACATCATCACCGCCCGGAACAACCAATCCTAAGTCTTCAACTTCCAGCCCCTTGAAGGTCATCATTACCTGGGGAAAACATTGACACATGGCACCGGCCTCTTCGACCAATCATAAGATAATCCGACACTCGAGTTCTGAGATCAATACTGTTGTTGATTTGACTGATTTGATGTAATGTCGGTTGAAACTATGTATAAATAGTTGAATAGGACTCTTGTAAATGGCAAGTGATTTCATACAACAACTCAAGGCATAATTACACTCTCTAAACATATTTTGTGGTCTTTTTTCAACAATAAATCGCCCTTTTTTTCTTAAAATTGGCTTAAGATTAGCCTTACTAATTTTGATGTCAACATATACTAAATTCAACATGATGATTGAAAATTATCGCCGCAATTCTCACTTTATTAATACTATCTGATGGTACCATAACTTTCGGGCCAACTTGGAGGTACTCGAGTATGTGCCCCCGTGCGCATCACACATTAAGTTAGTTCTATCCCCTGGGCGGACCTCGTACATGAGGTCAAGGATCTTGACCTTACCATAAGTCGAGTCCTACTCCACTATGTCTGCTATACTTTGATCCCAACGAGTCGTGATATTATCATTTCATGAGTAAACTTTAGTCATACTTGAATTTCATACTAAGATCAATGTACATAATGCAAATACCCGTGCATTTAAAATAACTACTAACTCTATAACAATGATGTATCCTCAATGTCACATTTCACGTCACAAGAACTACAAAGAGAACGTCATATAAATTCTTTTGCAATGAAAATCTAAGAAAATTTTCGCTAGTTCTGTAAATTTTGCAATTTGTCATTTTCTTTAAAATTTTAGTTAAATACATTATTCATATTCTTTTATTAAATTTTCAGTTCAACCTATTTATATTTTAGGTTCAAAATAAAAAAGAACTTACGATAACTTGAATCAAATTTAATCTATAGTGATTTGATTAATTCTTGTATTTAATAACTATTAATTGTAGGAATTGGTTCATATATTAAATGAAAAGGTGTGTAAAAATTGGAAAATGAAAAGGTGTGTAAAAATGGAAAATGAAAAGTTGTGACTACGTGTCAACTTCGACTAAATATTCAGACTTGATCCGATGGTGAAATTATAAAAGTAAATAGACCAACTTATTCTATTTGTCGAGTAGATCGTCGTGGTATATTTGGAATCTTGAAACCAATTCCGGATGAATGAGAAATTACGGACCAAAGTTGAAAGAAATAAAGTGTTGCAACTTTTCGAAAGGTGTAAGTTTTGGTCGAGTGTTGCAACTTTTTTGAAAGAATGCATGTTTTGGCCCACACTACTTCATTTGCACCCCTTCTACATTTATAAATAGAATTCTATAGACATGATTTTTGACACACCAATTGCATTGAGCATTCATTCTCCTCTTGCAATTCTCTTCTTTCTAATTCTATAGCATTTCATACATTTCCTTTGTAGAGGGAAAATTCTGTCAAAAGTTCATCGGTTTCTTATGGTTTGAAGTGCTGCTACCACAAGTTGTGAATCCATTGTATATTAGGAGACAAGTGTCATTCACCGTGAGCACCGTAGTGGGGCAATTTGTCTTAAGGAAAGAGATAATGTCTCGCCTTGAATTATTCTCTATTTCTACTTCTTCTTAATACTTGTTTTGCGCAATCTTTATACCGAAACTCTGTCCAAATTTTCATCCATATAAATTGTGTTTTGATCACGCTCTTGCGGGTTAAAACTGGTCAATCTACCACAAGTTGTGAATCCATTGTATATTAGGAGACAAGTGTCATTCACCGTGAGCACCGTAGTGGGGCAATTTGTCTTAAGGAAAGAGATAATGTCTCGCCTTGAATTATTCTCTATTTCTACTTCTTCTTAATACTTGTTTTGCGCAATCTTTATACCGAAACTCTGTCCAAATTTTCATCCATATAAATTGTGTTTTGATCACGCTCTTGCGGGTTAAAACTGGTCAAATAAATATATCAAAAACCAACCTTTACATAACCCTTTTTATAAGTCGTCTCCAACATTAATTTCATGGTAGAGTCGAGAATTTTCAAAACCTTAAAATTTTATACAAGCTTGACATAATTTGCCATCTAATTTAAATTAATAAGTACAGTTATTGTCCGTTGCCATATTTAAACTAGCAAGATTTTCTTTTCTTTTCCCCTTTTTTTTTCAAGAAAAAAGTATTCAAAAATATATTAAAATAGCAAAAGTTCTCAGTTGTAACTAAGTACTCACTCTCGATTCAACTCAAATGAATTTAACCTTTTTTATATTACTGGCATGTTTGATGTAAGTTTTTGAAAATAGATTTTCGAAAAATGTGATTAAAATTTAATTATGAGTCAACGTACAAAATTATATTATCTTGGAAATGCATGATTAAAAATAAAATTGGGAAAAAATGAGTTTAAAAATCTGTACCAACCAGGGCAAAGAGTATTTACATAAACATTTTGGATCCCCAATATTATAAGATGAGTAGGTGTCTAATATTACACCTGATTAGATAGAACAATAAATAAAAACATTTGGTACATCTTTCTTAGATTATTCATGGCAACTCAAAATAGGATCAAGCTAGCAAAAAGATCCAAACAGTTCCACCAGACAATGGTAATTCAAAATCATAGACATCACAAGTTATAATATGTTCACACCAGCAGCAAGAAACCATAACTCAAAATCAATCTTAGGACCAGTGTTCCAGCTCCTACAGCACATCAAGGCATTCATCATCTCCGCCCCTGAAGTGATAACACGAAGATCAGGCGGTCTATTTTCCAAATAATAGTAAGCATCGTGTGAAGTAGCCACTGATATAGGTATAGCCAAGAAGTCACGGGCCATTTTCGAGACGTTTGGATACTTGGGAGCTTCAGATTTCCACCATCGCAATACGTTGAAGTTTTCATTCCAAGGTACTACAGGCTCTTCTAAATACGAATCCAGATCGGACTTTTTAGGCTTATTATTGACTTGAACATATTCATGGTATTCTTGCCCGCCCGGAAAATTTGGAAATTGTTCTTTATCATTTCTTGGATTTCCCTCTTCTGTTTTAAGATTTGAAGTACCTTCAGAATTATCCACTTTCGTGCCATGGCTCGCATAATCTGCATAGATGCTTTTAATAGCCTCCAAAACAGCACCACTTTCCAAGATGCCATCTCTGTCTCCAAATTTCGTGGAAATATACTCCATGTATTGCATTTTGCAACGAGGATCCATCACTGACGCAATTGCCAATACCAGAAACGTTTCTTTTATGTACTTATCAAGCCTTTGAAGCATTTTCTTAGCCACGCACCAAGTAAAAGAGACTGAACTAGTGGCTTCGAGAATTAATTTTGCACGAAGCTCCTCAAGATTGTACAAAAATTTGTTAGCTGTTGGATGCTTCGTTTCAAAAACCTGCTTTGCAACATTGTAAGTGTTATCCACAAGTTTATAGACAATTCGAACTTTCTCCCATTCATCTGCAGATGGCACAAAATTCTTGTGCACATCTGAATTAAATTCTCCCATTGATTCCATATCTAACATAATTTTCAGTTTCCAATTTGTCGTATGCCACATAGATTCAGACCTTGACAAATGTAGCTCTTTGAGTTTGCCGATGATGATACATATCTCTTCAAATGCATCTTGCGCCATCAAACAAAACATTTCAGCACAGCAACTCACAGAAAAAAGACGAGAATCGATTGGCAGTCTGTTCTTCTCTTTGAACTGAGATTTGATGGACTCAATAATTTCATCCCTTGCAAATGCATTAATATTTCCTGACGTCAGAGTATATACTTTATTCTCGAGGCTCCAGTCGTCTATAGATTTCAAGATTGCTGCATCAAAAAAATCAAGCCTCCGAAAATAAAGAATCCATTTCCTCAACTTCCAAGTATCGTCAACGAAGTGTGCTGCCAAAGATATGTAGTCATAACGGGAACCATGTCTATTTAAGTACGTTAACACGTCAACTGAAAGAGGAATCATTCGACCCATATGATTCAAAGTACATTTAGTTATTGATTTCGCTTCCTCAAAAACCTTCAAGCAATCATTTTTGGTCGTCTCGGAATCCAAGGTCAAGGAAGGAAAGTACTCAGTCATCAAGTTTTTGAAATCATCATTTTTTAAAAGATTCGGTGGCACATCCTGGAAACATATGAAATTGGCAATACCTCGTCGCACTCTTTCTATATCAATATCAGTAGGGTCATCATTTTCCAAATCACTAATATCTTCATCATCTCCTTCATCTTCAACTCCCACAGAATCGTCCCCTTTGTCACTCGCTTCTCCGAATTCACAATGACAAGAATCATCTCCTATTTCAAAATTAGCAGCACAGAGTATGTTATCGCCTAAGCCCATGTTTGGCTACTGTTGAACACTCATTTCTAACTATTTATAATTTAAACTGTTTATATACACTTCCACAGCATCTATTAATAGATTTTCACAGTATTCAAATTTCAAACCCAGCCAAAGTTCAATCCTAAACAATAATGATGCTTAGCAAAACAGGGGAAAAAAAAAAACAAAAATATCTAAAAATATGTAGAACAAAATAGTACTACTACACACAATCAGAGTACAAAATAGTAACTTTGAAAATCACATTCGACAAAACTAAACAGAGAAAAGTTACCGTCTACTTTCTGAGCATCGTCATCGGCGGCGACGAGGGCGGGGGCGGGGTTTTCACGGTCGCGCTTCATTTCCAACGGATCGATTGATTTTGGTGTGTATTACTTTTCGATTTTGGGGGTATACACCTCTAAACAATGTTTAGCCTTTCAAACATGAAAGAAAATGTGTGAAGTTCTGTTTCGCCTTCATTTCGAAACTTATTTAGGGGCTTCTTTTAATTTAAAAAAAAGTGTATTATGAATTAGTGATTGAAATTGAAATTGAAATTGAAACATGTGCTTAAAAAAAGGGATTTATTTATTTATTTATGTATAATGTTATTTTAATGAAAAATGTATGATTAAAAATAAGTACCGTAAAAAAAATAATGTGATAGAATAATAAAGTTATTTGTACATACGGGGTGTCAATTCGGAATGTACAAATAACAAATTCCTATGATAGAATGGTTGACAAACAAAAACTTAATCAAAGTGACCAATAACATTACCTTTGAAAAAAAAAAATCAATTTTCATAACATTTCTTTAAAAAAAAAAATCTATAATTGTCAATTCTTTTTGAACTTCATTTGTTAAAATTCATTTTTAATTATATATTTTATGAGATTCATAATTTTTATCAATTTTTAATCATATGTTTTATCAATTTTTGTCGATGCATTTACATAATGTCAGATAGTAACATTTTATTGAAATTTGGACAAAAATAAAGTTTAAACCGTCAATAAGGTGTTGCAATTTCAACACTTGTAAATTGTCATGTACAATTCATCCGTCCAAACAACTTTATTTTGTAATTGCCCCCCGGGGCACATTCAAGTTGGCGGAACAATCACATTGGGGGGCTCTGGAACCAAGCGTGGGGAGTTCGATTCCTGGAAGGCACAATTTGGAAGGCAAGATTTATCTTGAAAGGCAAGTTGCTGTAAGGCAGTGAAGAGGCTCCCTTTGGGGAAGGAGTAAAAGCCGTGTGAGAACCTGCGAACCAACAAGGGCACATCCCGCGATTTACCTCCCTGAGCTGCTGAGGGGTCGGAGGTTCAGGGACGAGGATATAGTTTGACGCAAGTTGGGACACCTCGTTAAAAAAAAAAAACTTTATTTTGTAATTTTTATGAAATCCAAACGGGCTAAATGTCTAGACTAGGTTACAATTTCAATAAAAATTTAGTTGAATTTATTTTGAAGCATTGATTAAGCCTCGTTTGGCCCCCATTTTTTCAAGTAAGAATGGGTGGAATAATATTTATTTTTTAAAAAAATGAGTGGTTGAAAAAGAATTAAAAATTTTCAATTTACGTATAATATTAGTTTATGGAAGATTGTGTAATTGAAAATAGAAGAGAAAAAAATAAAATATAATGAGGGCAAACGGGGAGTAAGTGATTCAAATATCGAGGATTAGGAGGGCTTTCCATGGTTAGGCCAGATTTAATGGATGGTTCAGATGCATTAGAAACATTTCCCGCGCTTTCGCTTCTTAATGGACGGTTCACATCAACGCTTCGAGTAATCCTTATCCCCTATTGAATGAGGAAATAATGGGAAGAAAAGAATTAACCTAGTCCCCAAAAAGTAAAAAACCCTAAAAATTGTTACTCATCTCGTGGATATGAAGCGCCCTTATGATTCCGCCGACGCCGATGACATTCAAAAAGTAGATGGTAACTTCCCTCTAATTAGTTTTGTGGAATTTAATTTTTAAAGTTACATTTTTCCGGTCACGAAATTTAATTTATATTAAACTTTTAAGCATCAAACTTTGAAATGATGATAATATGCAATTTGTTTTTTCTTTTTGTTTGTTAGCTTTTTATTATCTGGATACAGGATATTTTAATTAATTACTCTTTTGAGTATTATTTTGGCTATTTCTCTCTTTTGTTTTTCTTCTGCATGATTTGGGGTGGATCAGTGGATTAGGACTTGTTTTATTTTGCGTTATTCTGATTTTGTATAGTGCTATTTGTTCTCCGCAAATGCATTTTGCCAGGTATTTTTGTTTACTTCTTTATATTTTCGAGTTTTTTTCCTCTTCTGCGAATATTTATTTTTTAGGATTGAACTTTGGTTGGGTTTGAATTTATTTGATTACTGTGAAAAACTAAGCGTATAATGAGAAATTTTGATGAAAAAGGGCCTTAAACGGATGCTGAAGATTATACTGAGGGGAAAAATAATGATCATGTTGGTAGAAGAAATGCTGATGAAAATGAAGACGAGGAATTAGCTTTTGCTGGGCTTGTGCATGCTAACTTTATTAGAGAACTTGATTTGCTCTTAATCATCTTTGAAGTGGGTGTTATGGCAACAAATAATCGTGCTTGATAATTTAGAAGCAGGAGATGATTCATGCAACTCTGATTGCCAAGGAAATGGGAGGGATGAATCTGAGGATTCTGTTGGAGATGAAGATATTAGGCTTTTTGAAGATGAGGGAGATGATGAAGATATTTTGGAAGATGATTGCCGTACTGCTATTGACTCAGAAATAGCACAACACGCTATCGCCAAGTTCATATGTTTCGATAAGATGACACCGCATGTCGAAAGTTACTATTTTAGAGACTTTATTGCTAGTTTGAATCCTTCTTTGACTTTGGATTCTAATACAACCAAAAAGGATTGCTTGAAGATTTTTGAGGAAGCGAAACTAAAAGCTAAACGTACTTTGAATAATATGGGTCGATTAATTGCTCTTTCAGTTGATGTTTTAACTTGCTACAAGAACTGGAATGCGAGTTATGACTTCATGTGTTTGTCAACCCATTTCATTGATGATAGCTGGAAATTCAGGAAATGGATTCTTCGTTTTCGGCGATACGATATGTGGAGGTCTGATTTTATTGATGCAGCAATTTTGAAATCTCTAGATGACTGGAATCTCGAAGGTAAGGTATATTCTCTTACCTCAAGAAATATTGATGCATGTGAAGAAACTGTCGAGTCCATCAAGTCTAAACTTAAGGAGAAGAATAGATTGCCACTTGATTCTCGTCTTTTTTCTGTGAGTTGTTGTGCTGAAATGTTTGGTTCAACGGCGCAAGATGCCTTTCAAGAGATTTCTACTATCATCAGCAAACTTGAAAAGCTACATTGGTCGAGGTCTGAATCTATGTGGCATATCACAAATTCGAAACTGAAAAATGCTTTAGAAATGGAAACACTGGGAAAATTCAATTCGGAAGATACTCGTAGGGATTATGATGTGCCTTCTGCAGATGAATGGGAGAAAGTTCGCATTGTGTATAGATTGGTGGAAAACGCTCACAATGTTGCAAAACAGGTGTTTGAAACAAGACATTCAACCGCTAACAAATTTTTGTACAATCTTCAGGAGCTTCGTGCAAATTTAATTCTTGAAGCCACCAGTTCAGTCTCCTTTGCTAGCTGCGTGGCTAAGATAATGCTTAGAAGGCTTGATAAGTACATAAAAGAAACGTTCCTGGTCCTGGCAATTGCATCGGTGATGGATCCACGTTGCAAGATGCAATACATAGAATATATTTCCAGAAAATTTGAAGATATAGATGGCATCTTTCCAAGTGGTGCTGTTTTGGAGGCTGTTCGTACAATCTATGCAGATTATGTGAGCCATGGCATTGAAATGGATAATTCTGAAGGTACTTCAAATCTTAAAACAGAAGAGGGAAATCCAATAAATGATAAAGAAGAACAGTTTCAAATATTTCCTGGAGGCCAAGAATACAGTGAATTTGTCCAATCCAATAATCAGTCAAAAAAGTCTGATCTGGATTCATATTTAGAAGAGCCCGTCTTACCTTGGGACGAAAACTTCAATGTATTGCTATGGTGGAAATCTGAAGCTCCCAAGTATCCAAACGTCTCAAAAATTGCCCGTGACTTCTTGGCCATCCCTATATCAGTGGCCACTTCACACGATGCTTACTATTACTTGGAAAATAGACCACCTGATCATCATGTCATTACTTCGGGGGCAGAGATGATGAATGCTTTGATGTGCTGTAGGAGCTGGAAGTCAGGTCTGAAGATTGATTTTGAGTTCTGATTTCTTACTGCTGGTATAAATAAAAATTAACTTATGATGTCTGTGCTGTTGCCATTGTCTGGGGAAGTTGTTTGGATCCTTTTGCTTGCTTGATCTTATTTCGAGTTGCCATAACTGATCTGAGGACTATTGTTCTTATGTTATCAGTCTACTAAATTTCTATTTTTGTTTCAACTATTATGACTTTAGATTTCATCTTCACAACACTAAGGCCTGTTTGACATGACTTTTGAGAAGTCAAAAGGAGTTTTTGAAACCTAAAAACTACTTTTGGATTATTGAGAAAGCTCTTTGAGAAATTGATTCTTAAGCACCAATTAAAGTAGCTTTACAAGATGCAAAAGCAAAAGTTCTATCAAACGGGTCCTTCATATAAGTTTTTTTTCATTTTGAGGATTGTTTCTAGTCTTGACGTGCATGTTTTGGCTATTAAGCTTAAAACATTACAAAATAGCATATTTGGCTAGCCTTATGAGTAACTTTTCAAGATGAAAAAGAATGTACAGGATGCTTGCTCTCTCATGATCATAAGCATGAAAGAAGCCACTCTAAACAACCAAACATGTTTTTGACTTCAAAAGAATTTTAAGCGACTTTCTTTATGTTTGGCTTCGTTTTTCAAGTCACCTCTTTTTCTCTCTTTTTGGGTATGTCACCTCATAACTTTACGAATTTATACTTTATTATTAGGTTCATTAGTAATCTCATGTTTATTTTTCACTCATGGAATCTTTCTTGAAGCTTGACATAATACTCGCACTTAAAAGAGAAATATTCCTTCATGTGATTCTATAGTAAGTGCTTATTGATACTATACTTGAACTGGACATGTTCGAGTAAAAAAGACATGAAATATTTGTTAACGTTTTACCTAGTCATGTGTAACCTTAAGCACTTATTTGGAAGTGATTATTTGAAAACATTTTCTTTTTTTTTTAACTCATTTTTAATTATATTTTTCTGAAAAAAATTATTTTTCACATTTTCTCATAATTTTTTTTTTAAACTTTTAACCGTGCATTCGAATAATCACTTTTATGTAGGCATTACATTATGATGACAGCATTCATATTGAGGAAATAAATTGAGAGCATTCACTAATTTAGCCTTTGTTTGATCCCCTTCCAAAATATGTTTTTTCTTCTCTTCTTTTTAGGTACATATTTTTCAATAAAATAATATTACATACAAATTAAAAAAAATTTCTTATTTTTAACCATACATTCTCCATCAATTTATTAACAATGCATTTTTAGCTGAAACTATAGACACTTAACAGGAAAAATTAGTCCAGAGCGTAGGTTTAACTTTTAATTTTGATAATAAAAAATTGCTAAATTGAGTATTTAGGAATTTAATTAATCCAACTAATTTAGAATTTCATTTTCTTTTTTACATTTCAGAAATTTTGTTCCCAAAATTACGGTAATCGGAACGATGTTTGTTCCTTTTTTACCGTGATATACAGAGGAAGAGTAAATAGTTGAGGAAAAACAAGCATTATCTTTTTATTTACACAATTGGAGGGCCGTAACTTTGTAGTAACAATTCTACAATATAAAAGGATACAAGATATAATTTTATGTTGTTAAACATCCTATCAAATGTCCCAAGGGGTCACATTTAACAACCATCTATGTCTAAATGAATAAACATCACATGAATGCGCCCAAAGATTACGAGATAACAGTATTTAAAATTGTGACATCTCGTATGAACGTATGCCATTTGAACTAGTTACATATGTAGGTTAGAGTTACAATTACTTTTGTTAAACAGCGCATACAAAATCACAATGTTACAAACCATTAGAGAGTAGAGGGAGTCACATGCCATACAACATAAGTCGCAACATTAACATACCAAAGGTGGAGCCAACATTCAACCACAAGGTGGGCTTGTATAAAACGATTAAGCGAGCTTCAACAGTATGGAAAAAAGTTCATTTATCTAAAAGCAGAACACCTTTTTATGTATGTGGTTACCTCTCAATATTGTATCATTAATATAATTCCATAACCTAGAAGAAGAATAAGAAAAGATAACAAAAAAAGTACACAAAAAACATATTTCTATTTAATTACGTTTGAATTTTAACGAGAATAAGATTAATCGAGTTATCAGGAATCAAACTAGTTCGACTTCATTCAACTGGTTCTAAAAAAAATAAGGTCGTACGTATATGCAATCTATTATAGATATTTTTGAAACTTAAAGCTTGAACAAGTAGTATGTTTAGGTAACTTTGAAGGATAGCTCAGTGGTCACACTTTGTGTTTGCTCCCTAATTATCGCCAATTCGAGTCCCCTCAAGGTCATTAAAATGAGTACTCGACTGTAAATTTCAGAGTTTCGTGAGATTAATCGAGATGCGCGTGAGCTGGTCCCGACACCCATGATCATATAAAAAAAAATAGTATGTTCTGCGAGTTGCAACGTCCCCGTCAAATAACAGATTCAATATAATTATATTCTAAGAATTGAAAAAGGGGGGAGAGAGAGAGAGAGAGAGAGAGAGAGAGAGAGAGGAAAAGGAAAAAGATTTAATAATCCAAAAACCCTAAAATAATGAACAGCCACAAATTCAACAATTATCCATCAACAATGACCCTACAGTGAACGAAGAGGATGAGGATTAAACTGAATGACAAATCGAGAGTTGAATTTAAAATTGCAAATCAACAAATGTCACAATTGCCACATAGACTCAATAATTGTTATGAGTCTAAATACATAATATTACTCTTAGATAATGCTTATGTGCTTGAGCAGTCATGAGATGTAGTGGTTATATTCATTTGGGACTTTAAAATACTCCTAAGTGTATTTGATTGAAACTTTAATGACTCTCTAAACTTTTAGGTAAATTCAATTGGGACTTCTGTAATTTTTTCAAAAAATCTCTAAAAGTCACGAGGTATTTAATTGAAACTTTTATAATTCTCTATAATTCATTAGGTATTCAAATAAACAATGACTTCGGCAAAATTCTTACTGACTGAACCTTTGAAGACCTTTTGGTGAAAAATATAAATAGCAAATCTCAAAGAAAATATCTCATATCCTCTAAGATTTGTGAAGATTTCAGAGCAACACCTTTTTTTTTTTTTTTTGCGTTTTCTAATTTTAGGATTTTCTCATATCTTTTCAATTTATTTGTTATAATCAATTTATAATTATTCTGTATGTACATAATTACTTTTGAATTGAAATTATATAAAGTTATTTCAAAATGTAGAATTCCATGTAATCAATCTTTCGTGTGTGTGTGCGCGTTTAAGAACAATTTGTGTTCTTAGAAATTATGTTAATTTCATGAAAAAATTTTGGTTATGTTCTTATAAATTGATGTACAAAAATTTATTATTTTATTTGAGCCAAAATTGAACGACCAAATCGTAACTAGTAAATTTACCCAAGAAAATTTTGTGCATCATGGTTCTCAAAATTGTTAATTAGGCAGTAAAAAAGATTACAATTTTTCAAATATATAATGAATTTGCAAAGTGAAAAGTCTTTAAAAATATTTTATCAAAGTCTACAAAAATCCGTAGAAGACATTTTATTAATTCTTAGCGAATCCATAAAAGTCTATAAAATTCACAAAAATCACCCACTTTAAAAAGTAATATGTAAAAGTCTATAAAGTCTCAATTCACTGTGCCCCTAAGACTGTGAGTAGGTTAAATAGGCATTGGACAAAACTTAACGATGAAAATTCCACATTAGATAATTGTTATGAGATTGGACACTCCTACCCCTAAACATACATTCAACGTTTCTTCTGATAATTATAAAAAGGGAACAATAGAAAATTAATGTAGTTAGAAAATACAATTTCAAAATTAACAAATATATTTTAAAGTTTCAAAAATCAGGTCATAATTAAAATAGGTCTTTAACATATTTTGTTAATTAAATAATTATGACCCGATTTTTGAATTAAAATAGATTGCTAAATTTTTTTATCAATTAAACATATTAATATCACAATACTATACAATTTATTATTACAATTACTTACTAGTTAGTCAGAGAATGTCACAATTATGAATTCCAAATTTCATATGTCACGACTTATTTATTAGTCACAAATTATTAAATTAATTGATCATGCATTATTTGTCGGCCACAAATAACAAATTTTATAAGTTACAAATTATTTATCGATCTTAAATTATCAAATTAGTATGCCACATATTTTTCTCCGTCACAAATTACAAAATTTATAAATCGTAACTTATTCCACAGTCACATATCACAAATTTTTTTAGCAAACAATTTATTTATTGATCACAAATTATTAAATTAATAGGTCACGTGTTATTTCTCAGTCACAAATTACAAATTAAATAAGTCACAACTTATTTCACGATTATAAATTATTAAATTAATTGATTACAAGTTATTTCTCGGTCACAACTTAACAAATTATGAGTCACGATTTCAAAATTTGTCACAATCTCATATTTTTTAGGTCACGTATTATTTATTGATCACAATCATCCAAATAATTTGTCACAAACACCCTTATCCCACTCCACTTTGATCCACCCAACTTAATCCCACTCCACTGACACCAATGCATGCCATACCACCTCGCTGCCACCGCCACTTGCACCACCGCCATTTATTGACCTCAGCATCACTACTAACAAATCGACCACCATCGCCAACAACACCAATACCTGCATCACCACAATCACCATTAGATCTAGCACCACCCCACTTGCACCACAAACATCACTAAAAACCATCTAGAACTTCAACAAAAAAGATCCCAAAAACTACGGGCAAAACTCCCAAAACCCCAAAATATTGAAACCATTGTCGCCGCCACCACCACACCAACAACCAATAGAATAGAGGGAGAAGCAACCATTTTATTTTCCACCAACAACCAATAACGAAAATAAACACAAACTTTGACTAAGTAGTCATCGCTATTGGCCAACTGAGAAAAAGTCGTTGTAAAGCACCAACTGATAAAGGATAGCAAAGGCTATAGCCAAATTGGTGATCGACGGCTAGATTACAGTCGCGCTATCGTATTCGGGCGACATTGATATTGAAGATTTCGGAGGACAAAGGTTGTATCACCATCGTTACCGGAGAAAGGACCTAAAAACCCTGAATACCATCCTAAATTGGATTAGATCAATGGACTTGTGCGTGG